TCAGGTCCCTTCTGACCCTAGAAAATATGAAACTATGAAATCCCACCTCTAAACCAAACCAAACAGATTTGGGGGGTTTCCAAGCATGACAAATTTTGGGCGGCACTTAGATAAAAAAATCACCAAACTGTGCAAGGAAGGACCCCAATATTTCACAAAGAGCGACAAAACTATCATTAAAGAATAATTGTGTAAAGGAAAAGTAGGCGAGCTTTTTATTTTTGAAAACCACATTGCAGGGAGGTGAAAAATGCAGATGTGCTGTGGGTTTGATGGCCAGCTTTTGTCCCCAGATTACTGAGAGAAGAAATCACATCCTTCCTAAATCTTGAATGGAACTGTGGTCGGTGGGTTTCAAAGTGCTCTATAAGGGAGGTCACTGCTATCAACCCATTTCATAGATGGGGATACTGAGGCACTGAGTGGTGGAGTGATTTGCCCAGCAGGCAAGTGGCAGAACAAGGCAGAGAACTCACATCCCTGAATCTCAGTCCTGTGCTCAAGCTTTATAGCCTTGACTGGTGAACTTAAGTGCTCCGGGGAGAAGTTAGCTGTCCACATTTAACCCCTCATGTGTCACCTCTTGTCTCCTCGACTCTCCAGCTGCTGACAATGCTGATGTGCAATTACCTTGGCAGAGCAGAATGACTAATCACGCTGGCAGGGCTCCCCACGCCTCCTTGTTTTTCTGTTCCTTGCTGCTTTGACATTTGTCCCCTCTGACTGGGAGCAGAGGGCTGGCTCCCAAGCACTTGCTCATTTTATTGTCTTTTAAAAACAAAAGCAGGCTCCAAAAGAATCACTGCTTGCGTCTCCAGACACAGCTCTCATCTCCCACACACATCACACACTGCACTGCCCACATCACACACACGCAGACCCCCCGCCAGCTGCCTGATGCACGCAAATAATTGCCCCAGCAGAGTACGCTGGCAACAGGAGGATGCCACCTACACGACTCCCACCTGTTCGCTCGTATGGCCTGACAACTACCCGCTTACAGCTCAGAAATCACTCACGCACTTCTAAGTACCTGCCTACTTGCATCTCATAAACCCACCCCTCAAACATCTTCCCTGTACACTCGCCACAAACACATCACCCCAAGTACTTACTCACTGTCACAAACGCACATCAAATGCCTTCACACACACCAGCCACACTGGCCGCAGCACACAGCAGATGCAGTGTTCACCTGCTGTGCACACTCACACATGCTGGTGTGCAGGGAGAGAAATACATCATCAGCATGTCCCATATGGACACGGACACAGGAACTATGAGAAGGATCGACAGTTTGGTTCACTGGCTAAACCCATTTTTTAAAAATTGTTTTAGACTGACGTTGTTTCAGGTCTTGTGGCAAAATTGAAAGCAGCTCTGTTCCGTGTTGAACTGGCCGTTGCATTTTCAGCTTTTTTTGCCTCGTTTTTTACATGAAATGTCTGTAATGTGTAAGAGGAAACATGGTTTTGAACCAAAAAGGTGGAGAGCTATGTTTCCGTTCCTTAGAATTATTTTTTTAGGTTGTACCCCGTTCTATCTCCCTCTCAGCCTCCACTCTCTGCCTCTGTGTCACAGAAATTACTGGGCAAGATGGACCTACGGTCTCACTGAGTAAATGGCAGTTCTTATGTAGATCAAACACCTGTTCTTTAGATCATACCAATTTAGTCAACTTGAGCTGGTGTTTTTTATTTTCAAAAACATAACTTCACATAAAAAATATGGCCCGGTTGTAACACACTCCCCCCACCAAAACTTAAAGTAACGTTTTTTCTAGTGACATAACAGCTCTGCCCTTTCCAAACATGCCGGTTGCACACTTCTCAGTTCCATGTCCCAGGGTGGCTTCCAGCACAACCAGACAGATGCACGCTCACACCTTTCAGATGCACGCTCACACCTTTCCACACACATCACAAATGCTCAAAATAAACCACGCACTACTACTATATAAACCATCTACTACTACTACTGCTACCACATTTGCATGTGTGCACACATACGCATGCATCTCTCGCACTGTAAGAGCTATGCATGTACTATATCGGTAGGCGCGCACATACATAAACACACACAGATGTATCTATCACATCCCAGGAGCTACATAACACATACACACACACGCACACGTATCTAATATCTATCATACCGCAGGAGCTACATACTCTATCACCAGGCCTACACGCACACACGCACACGCACACACTATCTATCATATCCAAGGAGCTACACTCTATCACCAGGCCTACATGCGTGCACACTATTGATCATACCCCAGGAGCTACACACATACTACATTACCAGGCCTACATGCACCCACCCGCCCACACAGCCTCCTCCCCAGCCCTGCCTCCCGCCAGAAGATGAATGCCCCACTCAGCAAACAGCAGGATCAGACTCCTCCAGGAGCCTGCACCAGGATGATGTATTCTCAGGACTAAATGAGAAGCTAATCCCATCTCAGATAGGCCTGTTTGTTTGCACTGCACGTGTTTACTCTAGATTGTTTTATCCTCCCCTGAGCAAATTGAGGAGCCTCACATGACAGGGGTGAGAAGCCTGGCAGAGCATATAAACATGCAGAGGGCAGCCTAATATAGCCTTCCAATTATCTTTTAATTTTGCTCCTGTCTTCATTTGTTTATTTCACGTTCTTTTTTTTTTTCCAAGCAATAATTTATTTCGCTCGAAGTCAGCAGTTCCTGCTCCGGGGACTGGCAATCACCTGCCACTTGCAGCCGGGCTGTAGCAAGAAGGGTGTGTGACTTTCAGGACATCTCTCTCCGCTCTGCGTCACCGGTATTGCGGGGGGAAGTCATGGCGGGGGTTGGTTTCTCTGCCCTGTTGCCATTGCCCTGACATGATCTAGTTTCACTAAAAAGAAAAGGCAAATTAAAGTGGTTTTGGGTCCAACAAAATATATTGTGCGACCCAAAAAGAGATGTTTCATTTGGGGGTAGGGGGGGAGGAGTATTTCCTTTTTTAAAAAAATAAAAGCTTGCTACATTTTGAAGCAAAACATTGATTGGAAATGAAACATGGAAATGTTTCTTTTTGCAAATGTGGAAACAATATTTTTCTTGCTGCTGCTTTGACCAAAAAGGCATTTTTTTTTCCCCATGAAACAAAAACAAAAAAAAAGTTTCGGCCTAAAAATTTCATCCAGTCCTCACCAAAATTTCCCCAGGAAGGAAAAAGGGAATAACATGCTATTCACTTCTGTCCCTGGCTCCTTGTTCAGGGATCTCTCAAATCTAACAGATTCGTGGCCAAGCATTTGGGCGGCTTCACAACAGGTGTTGGCACAGGGCACCCAAAAGGAAATCACTTCTACTGCCTCCACCTGCGGCACCTGGGGTGAGGGGCTGGGAAGCCCACCCCAGGGAAAGCACGGAGTGGGAGGAAGCTGCAGGGAGCGGGGAAGGGATGGCTGACAGCCACATCTGGAAAAGGGCACTGCAGGCCGTCCCCCCGGCTCGCGTGCATCAGCGTAGTGGCTTCGAAGCCAAAGGGACAATTCCCAAACTGGTGCAATTCCATATTAAAGATAATGGAGCGACATCGATTGATAGCAGCGGAGGATCTGGCCCTCCAATCCTATTTGCAGGGTGAGAAAGGCAGCCGGTCCTCCTCCTGCATTTGCTCCTGGAGAGGAACCCAGACGTCTCGTATCTGGGTGGGTCGCAACCCACTTCATTCACACCGTGTTGGTGAAAAAAGGATGAGCCAGGCAGCTGTTTGCTGCAGTTTCTACCTCCAAGGTTACTCTGCAAGTGAGCAGAGGATGGAAATGCTCAAGGTGATGAGCTCTTCCATCACCTTGAGCTCATCAGCAGTCCAGAGACAAAGAAGTCACAGCAGAGTCTTGGAGCCCCACGGGGGATTTCAGTCCCCGGAGCTGTCTGCCCTGCATCAGTTCCTCTGCTCCGTCCCGGTCTGAAGCCCTAAAACCTGAATGCTCGCCTCCTCCCGGCATTGCCCACGACGCCTCCATACCCATCCAGCAGAAGGAGGATGTTCCCTGGGGAAGTCCTCAGTGATGCTGCCACCTGCGTTCATTCCTCGGCCCCTCCATGCGCCTTGAGGGTGAAGTCCCAGGACCCCGGATTCGCCGGTCCTGTGTCCAGGGATTTCTGCCGGGTGTTTTCAGCTGGTCACCTCTGTTTTAAAACTCTGACCTCTACCCCCTTGCCTGTTGTATCATTTGGCACTCCCTTTGTGGACCGGTCCTTCCTCCTTTGAAAGAGCCGGGCCGTCTTCTCCAGTGGGCTCCCCGCATCTTGCCACGACTTCAAAGAGTCTATACCTGCTCCTCCGATCTCACCCACGGTCTCAGAGACAAAGCTGGAGACCCCACCATGGCAGTGGCCAAGATGATCCTTCATGTGTCCATCAGGACAAAGCGAGGGAGGGGATCGCTGCGACTGGGGGCTGTTTTCTAGTCCCTTCTCCATACACACAGGTCAGCAACAAGCCTCAAACAAGAGGACGTGCTTATGACCATCAAGACCCCCTTTTTTTTGGCTTTGTCTGAAGTTCCCTGCTGCTTCTGGAGGCCTCACTTCAAACCTGAGACCTGCTCTCCCTTCCCTGTAATCAGTTCAATGTTGGGTCCGGCGGCCCTGCCCTGAGAAGCTGTGCCCTTGGGCTCCTCCGGCCATCCTAGGATATCAATAGGACCAGCCACAACGAAATCCAGAAGCTGGAAATGAACCTTTAAAACTAAAGAAAACAAGAAATGGCTGGAGAAGTGTGTCTGTAGGCTGCTCGGGACAGCTATTTTTACCCTGCTTTGCTTTTCTACTTCCTTATACTTTTTTTTTTTGCACCTCTAAGCCTCTCTGTTTACCAGGCTAATAAGGCAAGCCCCAGGTCACTAGCTCACCGTCATCTGGCTTGCGTGTTTTCACCTGTGCCCAGCCCACCTCGCTCAAATATGCAAAGCTATTATGGAAAGCAGACGCTTTGCTCTCAAGCTACCAGCCAGACGCCTGGACACTTGCACCTGCGGCAGGTGAAAGTCACCTTGCCCCGAATTCTCCCGGGGGCTGCGCCAGGGAGGCCTTCTCTGCCAGGAGCTCGGTCCCGCTCGGCAATCATTAATCAGATTCTTTGCATTCCTGAGTCCTAGCCTGCTATGGGAAAATGAGCCAGAGGGTTCAGGTAAGCCAGGACTGGCAGTCAGACATGCAGCTGGCGGGGAAGCTGGCGCTTTCTGCAGCAGCTCTGCTCCTCCTCACTTTGGCTTACAAAATCTACAAGTCCCGATCGACTGCCAGCGTCCAGGGGAAGGGGAGCGTAAAAGCTGATACCGCCAACGTGACGGGCCCAAGAGCAAATGCAGGCCAGGATGGAGCAGAAAGTGCCGATGCCAGAGAACGGCCCCCAGAGCTCAGGTACAGGCAAGCCAGCAGCAACGGGGTGAGGCGGAGCGGCAGCAAAGCGAAACCGAGTGCGTGCCTGGGTGCAAAGGTAACGACGGGACCACAAAGCGCACCTGGCGGGAGAGTTCATAGTCTGCCGGACAGGGGGGAGGAGGAAGAGGAGGGAAGGGAGGGGAGTCAGCTGGTCTCCGAATCACAGCCGGGTGGAAGGAAACCTGCTTCGGAGGCAGAGGGACATGCTCCAGGTGCGGGCCGAAGAGCTGGCGCAGGGGCGAGAGCAGATGGGGCAGCGCAGGCGGTGCCAGCAGCGGGAGGCGAGCTGGGAGGTAAGCAAAACAGTTGCAATCAGCTTGGCCCAGCCAGAAAACTGCCCGGATCGAAAGGGGACAGCGCTGGGCCTGGCCAGGATCTAGTTTCTCTGGGATCTGGGCTTTGCCTTGGCCCGGAGCACAGCTCCTGCAACACGGTGCAGCCAGCCAGTGCTCCCGAGCTCCCAGCAGGTCCCAGCCCCGACACAGAGAAGGAGGCAAGAGCAGGAGACATGAGTGACAGCTCGGCCTGGGTCCCGGAGGCCCAGGTGAGCAGGGAGAGGCTCCAGACCCTCCACGTGGCTTCAGACTTGGGCTTAATGGTAAACCAAAGCAACAAGAGCGCGGACACCTCCTACACTTTCTCCTCCACCTCCAAGATACAGGTGGAGGAAAACTATATTAAAGAGGCTGGAGACGACAGGCGGGGGCAGCCCGCATCCTCTGCCTCCAGCCTGCGAGGGAAGGTCTATGACTATTATGTCCAGTCTACCTCCCAGTCTGTATCAAAGAAAAGGCCCTGCACATACCCTCCTCCAGGCACCCTGTCCTTCCCCAACTCTGCCCAGATCAGTGAAGAGCTGCATGACTTTGAGACCTGGCTGCACAAGACCAAGCACCAAGAAACAGCCCCGAGTTCAGCAGAGAGGGATGGAGACAAAGGGTCGCCCCCGGCAAATGCTCTGCTTGGCTCGCTGGGACACCCTGCAGAGGGCTCGGAGCCGCCCGGCTGCAGTGATGCATCGGAGGCAGCCGGGTCCTTCCCGGGTGCCCAGAAGCCGCCAGGACGCAGCTTCAGCAGGAAAGAGAGTTTCCTCCAAATTGCAGAGAACCCTGAACTTCAGGTCCCGATGGAGGGATTTGGGGCTTCGTCTCCCCCCAGCAGAAAATCAGACTCAAGCCCTTCACCTGCTAAGCCCACCGCCGTCGCTTCCCTGGCGGACTCTATGCATGGCCTCCAAATGGATGCAAGCCCCGAAGCCAGAGTGGAGCTTGTGGCTGGTGCCAACTTCTTCCAAGTCCCGTTGAGCTTTGAGTCCGCTGTGGACATCCACTTGGACTTGGGGAACTGCTTCGAAGTCCTGTGCATGGCGAAGAAGCAGAAACTAGACCATCTCAAGGACGCGGCTTATAAGGTCATGAGTGACAACTACTTACAGGTCCTGAGGAACGCATCTATCTACGGGCGCCTGAACGCCATGGAGAGGGAGCTGATCCTCCAAAGGAGGATGAAGGGGAGGAAGTATGTGACCGTGGCCGACGTCAGCACGCAAGAACGCAGCTTCCACGCCAGCCGGCTCTGTTACTACAATGACGAAAGCGACGCCTGGTATCCGCTGGCCCATATGCCGCAGGAGGCAGTTTCCAAGGGATGTGCCCTCTGCAGCATGTTCAATTATGTCTTCGTGGTGGCTGGCTGCGAAGGGGTAGGACGGTACCAGAAACCCTCGAACCGGGTCTTCTGCTACAACCCCCTGACCAATATCTGGAGGGAGATCTGCCCCCTGAACCAAGCCAGGCCTCACTGCAAGCTTGTCGCCTTGGACGGGTACCTCTATGCCATCGGAGGAGAATGCCTCTACACGGTGGAGCGGTACGACCCTCGCCAGGACCGGTGGTCTTTCGCTGCCCCTCTGCCCAACGACACCTTTGCCGTGGCGCACACCGCGACAGCGTGCAACGGGGAGATTTACGTGACCGGAGGCACCTTGCGCTACATGCTGCTCAGATACGTCAGCCGGACAGACAGCTGGAGGGCCAGCCTCACCAGCGGCAGCAAGGACAGGACCACCGAGATGGTCACCGTCGACGGCTTCATCTACCGCTTTGATCTCAACCGCAGCATGGGCATCAGCGTCTACCGCTGCGGCATCAAGGCCAAGCTGTGGTACGAATGTGCCACGAACCGCATGCCCTACCCCACCTGCTTCCAGTGCGCTGTTGTCGACAACCTGATCTACTGCATCAGCCGCCAGTTCATCATCCAGTTCCTGGCCGACTACGTCTCACCACGGTTCGGGGCCAAGGAGTTGCAAGCATTTCCATCCCCCAAAGGGACCCTCTTCCCTGTCGTCCTCATGTTGCCAGACAGAGATACGGTGCAAACAAGAGTCTGAAAACCCACTTCTTTCCAGTTCTCCCTTTGCCCTGTGTTAAAGCTGAGGCTGTTCAAGGGTGGTCCATAGATTCAAGGCAGCTTCCAGAGCCTAAAATCTGAAGCCCCAAAGCCCAGACCTGATCCACACCCAGCGTGCCCTGAACTCCAGGGCTATACAGTCCTAGGTGTAGAGAGAGGATCCTGGTGTGGATCCAGATCTGTAGAGTACATCTTCTAAGTTCAAGCCCTTCTCTACATAAAAGCAACCTGAGGTCACAGCATCCCTCCCAGCGGAAGAGAAAAAGGGATAAATTTGGCCTACGGCATACTGATATGCCCACCAAACTCATCCCACTTGCTATCGCTCTATCTGCCATGGGAGTCACGCACCCAAAGCAGGGGCTGGGCGGGTACATTTAGTTTGTCATGTTCAAGCCTAGGCAAATGTAGATGCAAAGTAAATTCAGGTTCCTAGAAAATAGCCAGCATGGCCCCTGGGATTGGGCAAACTCTCTGCAGCAAGACTGCACCTCTCACTGTGCAGTGATGAGATGTTTCTCATCGGTCGGTAATGAGGATTATTTATCTGGAAGGCAGATGCAGAGGCCCCTGCTTGGAGGTTTTTTAGACCTGAGAGAATGAGTGGGAAGGTCAGGATATGGCCCTGGCACCCCAAAACACCCATCCTAGCTACATCCAAGTGGACCTCTTATCAGCAGGCTCAGCAGACACTGAATGGGCTGCAGATGTCTGCGCTGCTCCATCATCCCTAGTCGGCAGCGGGCACTGCTTACACCCACGCTTTGTCCGCTAAAAGCGACTAGAGAGATGCCTTCAGCCTCCAGGTCTGCTGAACCAAGGCTTTAAAAAAGCAAGATGAATTTCAAGATGTTAGAAAACAAGGGAAGCTTCCAAAAATAGCCCCAAATCTCCGACCAAATTGCAAGGAGTTGTTGTTTCCATGGAAAACCTCAGCATGGGAATCCAAGCACTTACAGGAGGGCTGGATTCCCCTGTGCAGTCTCTGCCTTTTGGGTTACACCCCAATATATATACCCCGCCCCCCCCATACACTTCTCCATAGCAAGACCTCCAAGTACAAGGGTATTCAGGGTAAGACAGAGGGGGTACAGCTGGGATGGCTTTGTCCTCTGTCGTGATGGGTCATGGACAGCTGAGTGCAAACTAGGACTGCAGTGGGGTCCAGTGCATCTCCTGACAACCACAGGATCCTTTAGCCCCTGCACCCATTGCCTTGATATCTCAAAACAGCATCCTCTCTGTTTTTTAAGATTATTACTATTATGACTAACATGCTTATATCACAGCAGTGCCCAGAGGCTCCGATTTGGCTTGGGGACCAATTGTTCCAGGGAAAATACAAACCTGCAGCCTACTGTCAGGACTAGGTCAAGTCATTTAACCGCTGTGTGCCTCAGTTTCTCCAGCCATGAAATGGGAGTAATGCTACTTCTCTACCGCGCAGGGCAGTCTGAAGCTAAGTTAACTACGTTGAGGTTTGTGAGGACTGGGAAAACCCTTTGATGCTAGGTGCTGTTTGTGGCTCTTGGGTACTTCTACAGCAACTGATCCCCTGGTAATGTTTGGGAAGTACGTGCACTTGGTGTTAAATAAAATTAACTTAGACCTGCTGGTTTGTGACTCTGCTAACTCCATTTACAGTATTTTTTACTGTCCTTTGCCTCATTAGGATGGGGTGCCAATTGTCAAATTAAAAATAACCACAATGTCTTTGGAAACAGGTTTTCATAGGAGCAACCGGCTTCGTATCTGACATTGCCAGATGAAGCCAGCTCAGGGCGAACAGATGTCTAGCAGTCAAGCAGATGCACAGTGCAAGTGTGCGAACTCGTATCAGCTCTGATTCAGATCAGTATAGGAGCCGGTTCTGTATGGGAATTGCACAAGGCTGTGTCTCTTTTGGATGAAAGCACTGCGAGGCAAAAGCATTTAACATAAGCAAATATTTCCCTAGCATTATGACTGGGATCCAGGGTTAAAAGAGGAGGCGGGGGGAGCCCTTCAGAAACAAAATTAAAGTTGTAAATCGCATCACGGTCAGGGAAGAGGAGGACAAGGTAAAAGGAAAATTAAAGATATTAAATCTGATCCCAAGCCTGCTGCAGTTCATAAAGAGAATCTCTTCGACTTCAATAGGCTCTCTATCTGGCCCATCTGAGCAGAAAAAAATCCAAAGCGCAGGTACTTTTTATTCCAAGTTCCTTTGAAAAAAGCTGGGCCTGGCTGTACATGCTGTATACAGCCTGCTGGATAATGGCATTGCTATTCTACAGGGAACGGTGACCCTTGAAATACATTTAAAATTTCAAATACCCTTAAAACTTTTCTGTGGAATGAAAATTTGACACCAGAAAAGTTCAGTCGGGAAACGTCAAGTCTTTGCTTTCGACAGTGTCAAGACACCAGATTAAAAGTGGCATAGAAAAGTATAATTACTTTAACATTTTTACGTAACCCAAGTCAGAATTAAAACTAAATAAAAACACAAGGTGAAATACTGTGTTTTGACTTCACCAACATGAGAAAGGCTAAATGATTTGTTTTGACACTTTTCTGTCAAAATCGACATGTTCCCAACAAAACATTTCAGCTGAAATAAAACTGTGCTCGCTGATGGAAAACGGCTCCGTCGCAACAGGTTGCAAGCAGCTGTAGTCCTGAACCCGTAAAACCTCTGGCCCCAGGAGACAAAGCGTTACTGGCCCTAGTCTGCAATGGCAGGGAGCTGAAACAATCCATGTAGGGCTACTGAGTCGGGCATCCAGAGCAACGCAAGGTTGGCTTCTTGAGAGCCTCAGGGGCTGAATCTTTCTGGAATGACATCTTGGGGCGCATCTACATGTGCATTAATGCACTTTAGTTAATGCACATTAAATGCACTACCTCCATTGTGAGGTACTAGAAAAATACACATTAGACTATTTTAATGCACGTTAGCTAAAGAGCATGGGGCATTTATACACATACTTTTCTGTCCCGCAATGCGCCGGAGATCCACCGCTCGATGAATCGAGTCTGCTCCACCCCCGAGCTGAGGCGAACTGCGCTGCACCGCATGCAGTTGTAGAAGCGGCGAAATGTATGCCAACATGCAGAAAATGGTGGCGGCGCACTTTTAAACTAAAGTGCTTCTGATGTGTTTTAGTTCATTTGTCGCAGTGCTGATGCACATTTTGCCACTTAGACAGCTGCAAGCGTTACAGCGCCGGGCGCTTTTTAAAGTGCTCAGCACTGCAGCGCTTACACAGGTAAAAATGCCTGTGGTTTTTCTGTGATGCTTTAATGTGCATTAAAATAGACTAATGTGCATTAAAGTGCATGTGTAGATGCTTTATTGGGTTCTAAGTCAGACAACTGCCAGAGGTCCACATAGGGCTTCACATTGCAGCCCTGGGCCAGGGAAGCCTCTGCTTGCCTTGGGGTGTCTTCAAGCCTGGTCCCACACTCACTAAGGCTCCAAAAGGGCTCCTCAGTCCTCCATTGGGTCTTTGGAGAAGGTGGAATATTTAATACAGGCAGCACTGCCTTTCCTAAACTAGTGCAACTGCAAAAGATAAAAAACAGATTCTTCTAAGCTTATTATAAATTCATCCACAGGCAGGTCTGACTTTCTCTGTGCAAGTTATGGGTAAGGTCCACTCCACTGGGATGCCTCAGCAAGATACAATACCTTAGCTCCTAGACTGAGAAGCAGATTGCCCCTGCAGCAAACTTTCAGCGTCGGTCAGAAACTCAGCTCCGGCCACTGGTGTCCTCTCCCCTCCCTGCCCCTTCAGGTGGGGGTCTTCAATGCTTTACCATCCCTGTGATCTTAGGCTTGGGCATGAGGGAAAATAAGCCAGGACCCACAAAGGTGGACAGTCCCCAGTTACAGTCCCATTACAGGCTCCTGGTATTCTCTCTAGAGCAGTGGTCTTTAACCCGTGGCCTGCAGGCCACATGCGGCCCAATCGGCACACTGGAGTGGCCCACAGGACACATTTTTTACATGGATACACAGCAAGTTGTGTGGGTGCAAGCCACATAACCCATTGAGAGCTGCACGTGTGGCCCACTGTGGCAAGTACCACTGCTCTAGATGCACCTTACCCCAGACACTGTCTCGCTTTCTGGTTCTTCCTTCCCAACAGCCTCTAATTGTGCACTATGAGACAGGGTAATATCAAGCTGGTAAACTGAGGAACATATGCCCCTCCCATTAAACTATCAAGAAAGAAAAAACAAAGAGCAAAAGAATGAAAGAATGAAAGAAAGAAGAGGTAGGTGTAGATGTAGGTGTAGGTATGGGTCTAGGTATAGATATCTCTGTTATTCTCCATAGTACACCTACATGAAAGTGAGTGACTTAATAACAAAGACAAGAAGCCCGGTAGATGACAGGAAGGGTCCCTTCCTCCCATACGTGCAGTCTCCAAAGTGACTTGTTTCTTTAGGTTGGGGAAGATGACAAGCACGAGGGACATGTCACGCTTGAGCAGGAACTGTTGTGAAGGTACCTGCATGCTGGACAGGTGTCTGATGAAAGGGAATGATGTTCAGTGGCCACGCACCTGTCATACAAATGACTACGGCTTAAAAGGAAAGCAACAGGCGGAGGACAGTCAAAGTAAAGTCTCCTTGTGCTTGCGTCTTCTCTGCTACAGGATGTGTCAGAGCTTAACCCCAAATGGCAGCTGCCTCCAGCAGACAGGCAGAAGCCTGGATATTTCTAGGCACGCACAATCCCACCCCCCTCACCCTCCAGTCACACACATAGATGCCATCCCTGAAAAGAAGTTGCCCCCCATACAGCAGCAAGCCCTACCTTAATGAGCCGTGGAAGCCAATACAAAGCTGCTACCCCAGTGGCTGTGTGCAGAGACACACCGTCATCATAGCAGCAGTGGGGAGAGAGAGAGGGGACCTCCTGGGGAAGAGGACAGCTCTCGGGGTGGGTTTCTGGGGCCTGGGTGTCAGGGTTGTGCATCCTCACCATTGAAGCTAACAGGAGCTGCTGAGACTCAGCACCTTAGCACCCCAGGTGTGTGGTCCTCAAGGTAATGGTGGGGGAGCACGAGCAGTTATTTAAGTTGGGAACGCGGGATCGCCTTATGGCCGATCGTTATTTCCATGCAGCGAGTAGATACCAAACAGCAGAACAGGTCTCCCCGCTCTGCGTGAAACAGGGCAGAAGATGGATGGCCAGGGGAGACCACGTGTCAGAAACGCAGAGTTGCAGAGATGTACATTTCCGCACACAAATCAATACCTAAATATCCTAATAAAACTCCAAAGCGCACATCATAGAGCAACAAAACACCCCAAACAAGTTTAAAATAACAGTAAATAGCAAAATCACACAATAAACCCAGCCATGCTAAGAGAGCAAGAGCACATTAAAATGTCAGGCCAATTACAAGAGGAAACAGCGAATGCTCCTTTCTGCGCAAGGAAAACATTATGTGATTTGAGAGACATTTCCACCTCAATAATTGTACTGCTCAGCCAGCCCGTCCATCAAAGCGGTAACTAGCTCATTTCATCTGGGCAGCCCCAGGTGAGTCTCAATATGGAGTTTGATCATTTCTGCCTTCTCCTGTCTTCCCCCATCCAACGGGATGTTTTTAAGTCCCTACTGCGTTCCTTAAAGACATGCAGAATAGATAGACCAAGACAGACATAAAAAAAAAAATTAAAATAAAATGAGGTCCTGAGCCTACGTCATCAGCGTTGAGAAGAACCTGCTCAGGGAAAATGAAGGCAGACGCCAACTCTATCCAGGACCTGCCACAATGACCCTGCATGCACGCTCTCCCACACTGGCACAAAACCCATCTGCACAAGACAGCTCAAGCTCTGCAATAGGCATATAAGTGAAGCGGTCAAATATTTTCAAGTACTTAGCATTCGGCAATTTCCATAATTTTCAATAAATTGACGTTTCCCATCGTTTTTTCCCGTCGTTCTCACTGTTTGCACAGATTCATCCATTGCAAATTATGCTTGCTTCCCCCAACCCACTGCCTTACAACTCTGTACCTTTCACATGCTTGATATCCCATAACCAGATGTAGAAAGCACTTGAGAAGAGCCTATCATTATCGGGTTTCTAGCTGGATTTTTAAAACCTGAGCAGCTTGGGTTAGCAATCATATTTCCGGGCATCTCATTCAACCAAACCGTTGGCCTTTACCAGCAGGGCCTCACAGAAAATAAAGCTCTCCCCCTGACCCAGCACACACAAGTGGTACATGAGCCGCTGTTGCAACGAGCCTGCAGCCGTGGAGCTAGGCAAGACTGTTTTTGCAGTCGGAGCCAGCGTCCTCACTGCTATAAGAGGCACCAGGGAAAGAGATTGAAAAGCCCTTCAGTGAAAGAAATACGGATGCTAGAATAGCTTCATTATCCAAGCTCCTTAAAAGCAGACTGTAGGGTATGTTCTCCTTTTAACCTTTGTGTAAGTCCCATTAACAATAATGACGGGAGCCACGCATCCTCAAGGAGAGAGGAAAGTGACTGAGGAAGAGGGCGACAGGCTCCAAAAGTCCTTGCAATAGTTGCTCAGTTTTAACTGCAGAATTGGGACCTAGTAGTACAGCCCTGCCAACCCCAAGTTAAAAAAAGAGTCAGGTCCCCTACAATCACACAATTGGCCTAAACGTCCAGACATTCAACGCATTTTGAGTTCTTTTATTTGTCCTCCAAATGCTTATGAGGCTCTCGTGTTCTGTTTTCAAGCTTTCCCTTGGCCATGACGAGGCCTAGAACCTCATTTGCTTTTTTTATTTGGAAATGGGAACTCACCTGTCCGGAGGAGCTCAGGCGCTGAAGGCTGTCAGGATGTGCAATATCATTTGACTCTCTGTTAAAAAAAAGAAAAGAAAAGGAAAAAAGGTCATAAGATTGGCAATCCCCTACATTGAAGCCAAGCTGGGTTGTGTCCAGCTAGCTCCAGTATGCCTAGCCGTGCTGCAGGCCCCCTGAGCTGGAGTGCAATTCACCCCCCTTCCCCTCTGGAGATCACAACCCCACAAACTTGTTCCCCACAAAAGCCGCACTTATTATCTGCCACTGCGCGTCAGCCTTCAAAATTTATCCTCCCGCTGAAGGACTCCTTCTCACTGGTAAAACCATTAAGTGTGTTGATTTGCAACCATGTGTAGCCTTTCCGCTAAATTTGATCTCTCTTTTTGCTCATAAGGCAGCTACACTATATCGAGACACATTTATTTTAGCCATTAAATAGCTTAATGAACATTGATTCAGATTCTTAATTTTGACATTTTTTTTATGATGTTACAAAATGGTGAGGGATGCATTTCTTATTTGCTAGAAGACGTTTTTTAATTTTTTTTTTTTTTTTGCTTTGGAGTGGTGTCAAGGGGCATTTGGAGGGAAATTGGAATTCAATTAAAGACGTACAAAAACCAGCGATTACAAAAATAGTTTTTATTCGGTCAATAAAACTAATCTGAAGCGTGCGGCTTGTATGAGAAAACAAGTTTCTCTCCGCTCGTTTTGCAGTTAACATTCACGGATTGATTAAATGAAGGAAACATCAGTGAATTGGCAGATCATAAATCTGGCCTACAAATGACCAGAAACAATAACACTGATGAAGATGAGCATCTAGTGGGGCGTCAAACTGATTTCAATGGGAACAGGCGCCAAGGAGAGTTGGGTACCTAACATGCCTAAAACTGAGTATGGCCCCATCACCTTCAAGTGTCCAGAATAACAGATCTCATCCTCTCCCACCTGGTTTTTATTCACAGAGTGGAAGAGAAACAAGCTTTCCCATTTTCCAAATCCCTCCTGGTTTGAATAAACTACTAATGAAGAAAATATCCTCTTGGCACCCACTAGCTAAACTGAAAGCAAAAGTAATTAAGACAAGTGTATTTTCTGAAGAACAGAAACGGAAAGTGCTTACATTTGGGGAAATGTTAAATACCAGCCCTTGCTCCATTGTGAAGACTGAAAATAACACATTCTTAATGCAGTACATGACATTTATAAAGCTTGGGATGATCTCAGAAATTCAAGAGGTTTTCCCCCGGTTCTATACAGAGGCAGAAAAAAGCAGCACTGTCACTTGGTAAAATGAGGAAGACTCGCTGAGACAGCATCTTTATATCAGAATAAATGTAGGCCTTCGCTTGCCAATTTCCAGTTTAATGTTAAGTGGGTTTATTTTTTAATAAATGTTTCTATCATTTAAATTTAATGATTTGAAGGAAGATATCAGATTGCAATTTTTTTTCATTAAAAAAGGCCTGTGTGTGTATGCAGAATCCATTTCAACCTGCCTTGGAGTTCAGGAAAACGGTATGAATCCAGTCATTCTCAACTAGGGCGGCACAACGTTTTTCTTTTCTTTTTTATGAAGGTGCTTGCACAATGTTAGCACTCTTAGGTATGCAAACACCTACGCGATTCACAAGATAAACCCAAAGGTTTCACACAGGAATCCGCGGTGTCCAAACCATTCTGACCTGCCATGATCTTTTGGAGTTCTTTACAACAGAAGAGGAATTGGGACTCATGGTCGAGGTGATCTCTTTTATTAGACCAACTCGATTTTTGCAAAAAGAAGTCTTTTTCGCACAAACACCCTTCTTCAGGCATAGAAGAAAAGGGTGTTTGTGCCCAAAAGCTTGCAATTAAAGATATTTTTTTTGCAAAAATCTAGTTGGTCGAACAAAAGATCACCTCTACCACGAGTCCCGATTCCTTTCTGCCTCTAGACCAATATGGCTACCTGTTATACCTCGATACCAACAAAATAATTGCTCTACTATTTTTCCATAGTCGAAAAACAAGTGCAAGCCAAAAGTTGGCATTTTCCAAGGAGGGACTTGAGTCTAATGAGGGTTGCCATGAATCTCCAAAGGTTGAGAACCACTGCCTTGCATCTGAGTGCATGCATGCTCTTATACCCAGGGCTCTCGGTTAGGAAGGCGGCCAACACGCAAGTGAGCTGACATTTCTGGGGTCGGGGTGGGTGGGAGAGAGGCTGAGTTTTTGCAGCTAATAGATGCCGACAAAGTGCAGTTGTGAGCTGGGCTGCATTGCACTGCCATCACCATCGCCACATCAGTCATGGGGACCAAGGGATAAATGTCACACGTGAGAGCCCAGTCTCCCAGTGTAAAAGGAAACTCTCTGGGAATGTCAGCCAGCATCTTGTGAGCACAGAGAGGTCAGTGTTAATGAAAGATGCTATCAGGAGAGCTGGCTTCCAGCCAGACAAACATAATTAGCAGTATTTGCGGAAGATGAACCTTGGCAAGTGACAGAGGAGATGGTGGGGAGGGGGTGTGCAGAGGGGCGGGGGATGAAGAGGGGAACATATTCCCTTGCAAGAGTTTTTGGGGGGGAAAAAGCACTGCCATTTGGAGGGCTGCCAAGCCAGAACAACAGCCTGGTGAATGACTATTTAATTAAAATCTGCACAGCATTTGGAGGGAGAAGAGCTCGCCGTGAATAAGCACAGCAATAAAATATGCATAGACTCCAGCATAAGTTCCCCTTTTTATGCTCGGGCCTTTGCTCTGCCTCTGCTGAAAGCATTGATGGCTTTTGATTCACTAGCTACAGTGAGGGGAGAGCATTTGCCAGGCACTATTTCAATCCTGCAGGGAGTTTTTCCAAGGGTTATAGCCATGCTATAGTTTAGGATGTGTCAGCGCTGGCATCATAAACACATATCAGAAATGCTATAAAAAATTCACTTCTGGCTGCAGTTCACCATCTTAAGGCTTAGACCAGAGAATTTTCTTCCCCTTCCTAAATAAAATCAATAAGGTCATTTTTAATTTACAGGAAACCCAGAAAAAGAAATTTCCGTAACAGTTGCAGAGGCTTTTTTTTTTTTTTTTTGCACATTGCTCAAAAAATGGTTTTAATGACGAGGCTTGTTGCTCTGACGGGGTCATGCATCAGCTTGTTGACTGGGAGCCGGAGAAGAAGAATTAATATTATCTGGATAACGGTAGCACTCAAAGAGCGTACGCAAGGCTGGTGCCTCGTTCCCCAACGGTGAAAGTCATGCCCTGGGAGCTTCTGGTCAAGCCAAATAAGATAAAGGAAGAGCAGTTCAAGCTGAGTGAGCAACACATATTTAGATTCGCTGAGTCTCTTTAAGTGCTGTTTGCCCAGAAGCAAGATGCTTTTTGTTTCCATTCTGAACAGTGAACCTGTTTTTTTTTTAAATAAAGCTAAAGGAAATTTCAAAGTAAGAAGTTTTTGGGGGGTTTTTTTTCCATACTAAAAACTAATAACATGGTTTGTTTTGACACCCTTTAAATACTGCATTTTGGTTTCTTTCAGCAACGAAGCCTTTTCCAAATAGAACTGGCTGACAAAAATCACCGCAAGATGTTTTATCGTTTTTGGCATTAAAGAAAGGTGCAGTTGAAATTTTGCTCAGCTCTGGTTATTAATGCTGTGTGAAACACAACGCCGAAAAGTTTTGCTATAGGTCACGTAGGGAGAGTCTGAGATCACAGCGGACTGAACACAGACCTCCCGAAGCCCAGTCTAGCACCTTCCTGCCCCCATGTAACTAGTATATAGTTAGTCATGAGTAGCAGGAAGCCTCCCTACATTTTCAGTGCCTGTACCAGCTTGTTCACACAGGGTAGGGACAGAAGTTCCACATAAATCAGTACAAGTGACTGGAAACCAGTTCAAATCTGTAACACAACGGAAGTCCGGTGCACATAAGCCG